CTGGCACTGCAGGAGGGCTGAGCCCCCATGGATGGGGCTGGGACACCGCCCTGACACACAGGGGCAGGGACTGCTCTCACTCTGCAGTGTGAGCAGTGAAGAGGCTCCAGGAGAGCTGGAGAGGGACTGGGGACAAGGGATGGAGGGACAGGACACAGGGAATGGCTCCCACTGCCAGAGGGCAGGGATGGATGGGGTGTTGAGAAAGAATTCCTGGTTGTGAGGGTGGGGAGGCCCAGAGGACAGTGGGGACAGTGACCATGCTGGGTGCTGGCCATGGTGGCCTGGCTGGAGCATGGTGTGTCATCCGTGAGGAGCACTGGCAGCTCCCATGGAAACCTGCATTTATGTGCTCAGAGCTTGGCCAAATTTTAACTGTTCAGACTGAAATCCACCAGCTCGAGCTCTGCAGTTAATGCAAAGAGACAACATCTAATGGTGTCAGGACATGTCTGCAAGGGGAACTTTGAATCTCTCAATGCATTGTGACGGAAGGAAATGGGGGAAAACTCTTCCCTAACTTTCATTCCACCCACTCCAGGCTTTTCAGCTAATAACTTCATTTCTAAGCAACCCCTGCCTTAATTAGCCATAGATTTCCCATTTAGCAGCTTTGCCTTATCTTTGCTCCCCTCTCTCCTTTGAAAAGTAACTTCCAAAGTTAGGGGGAAAACACAATTACAGGGCAGCTGGGATAATTCAGAATGTACCAGCACAAAGGGCTGAACAATCAAACTCAGAAACAGCAGAAAAGGCAAAGAAAGAATAATTTCTCCTGTGAAGTTCTGAGAGACTTTATCTCTCCAAATTATTGCTTTTGTGGGAACAAACAACATGCACAGGCACATTCCCACATTCCCATCGCTCCTGTTCCCACCTGGCCATGTCCATCCACGTCCCCAAGGACACCAGTGGAGGAGGCCCCAAGCAGGAATGGGATGGAGAAGCTGCTCCCCAAACCCCTGTGCTCCCTTTGCTTCCCTGGCACAAGGAATGCAGCAAGGGGGATGTCCTCCCAGAATGTCACTGTCATATTTTCTGAAAAATCCCTTTGCCAGGATTCTTCTCCTGGGAAGCTGAGAGCCTCAGAGAAAAATGAAAACAATAATTATCTGATTGCTTCTCTGTGTTTGCTGCTTTGGAATGTGGTTTGGACATTGTTTACCAACAGGCGATTGTTTCATTGGTTTCATGTGAGTTGTTTTTACTTGATGAGCAATCACAGCCAACTGTGTCAAGGCTCTGAGGAGTCAGAATTTTTCATGATCATTCTTGTTAAGCCTTCTGTCTGTATCCTTCTCTTTCTCTAG